TTTTTTTGGTACTGGCGATCGAACTCACAACCTTGCATTTGCCAAGCAGATGCTTATGCTGCTGAGCTAAATCTCCTGCCTGCCCTTTGGGCTTGTTTTATAATGATGAAATGTTCTTTGAATTAACGGGAACCTTATTTACTTAGGTAATCTCTAAATTCAACTCAATTGATATGATTTTTCATATCAATAAAGTTAAAATATTATTAACAACGTTTTAAATCTACAATATACTACTGGTTTTTGTACCAGGTTTGCTTCTTATCTGGGAGTCTGTCCTAGTTAACACTACAATTTTGCTCTTAGAAACTCAGTACAAAAATTTTTTGGGTCAACTGAGTATTGTTGCTAATCTTTTAAATTTATGACCATTTTTGTTGTATGCACACCCTGTTGCTATCTTCCAGGAGAAATCAGCATATCATTTTCCATGAAAGACTTCAGAAATCGCATTCACACATATTGCCTCATTAAATAATTTTCCTTTAACATTCAGTGAACACACTCACACACACATATACAGATTGCTTTATATTCCTTTTTCATGGGGGTGAGAGGGCCCATGCATGTATTAAATTCTCCCTGTGTTTTTCTTTATCATTCAGCCCCCCACTACCACATATGTGTTTCTTTATTCATGAGGGTGAGAGGTCCCAGTCATGTACCTTGTATGTCGTAAGCACTGTGATGTCTGTTATGTTGGTTCCATTGTATGGATTAGAAAGTAAAGAGTCTGAGATGTGGAATTACTTCCTCAGGGTCTATCAATTAATAAGACATACAGCCACTCTAGTTTACACTTGGGCTTCAGACCCTCTACTAGTCTCATAATGAAAGTTTCTCGTAGAAGCCACAGGGAGAACTCTCAGAATTATGTTAAAGCTCAAAGAAAATAAAGGGCTGTAATTATCCAGGAATATCCCCAAAATTATATTCCTAAGGTTGAATCTCTGTCGCTTTGGGGTCATAGCCAGAAATAGAAGAAGCTGATCTGATGAGGGGATTCACTGGGGCTTTGTGAGGTCCAAGGCACCCCGGCCAGGCAAGCAAGTCTGACGTTGGAGGGCCTTTAACTTGCTGATTGGAATGAACCACAGAGAAGTTCTGCTTCCCAGGTCTCAGGGCCTCCTCCATCAGTGTCAGTATTGCCATTTACCAGGGTGTATTCTGAGAGAAGCCCTCGGCAGCTGTGTGGGTGACAGAGTCCTCTGGACCCACATCCACTGGGCATGTCTAGTGCTTGAGTGCTCAGAAATTCTCCTGGGAAGCCAGTGGGAACTGGGAATGATGATCTATATGTCTGTCCTCTTTTAACAAAAATGTGTCTCATGAGTTATCTTTAGTAAAACAATGAGAGAATAGCTGTTACAGATTAGCATTCCTAATCCAAAATCTGAAATGCTCTGAACTCTATTTTAGTGCTGACATGATGTCACAAATAGAAAATTCCACACCATGAAACCTTTTTATACTCAAAATTATTAAACAATTGGCATAAAGTTATCTTCATACTATTTGTATGAGGAATAAGATGTGTGTGAATAAATGCTGTGTTTAAACTTTTGTTTCATCCCCAAGATATCTCATATATATATATATATATATATATATATATATATATATACCAAAAATCAGAGATCTGAAATACTTCTAGTCCTGCTCATGTCAGATATGAAACATTCAGCCTTTATAGATTGAGTTCTCCAGATGTACCCAACAGTGTTCTGAATTTGTTACACTGACACTGTTTCATAACAGTTCTGAGTTAGAAAGTTTGGGCTCGTTTTATAGAAAAGAACATTGGGTGTGATGAACATTAGTTAAAAGAGGACTGTGTTACCTTTTTCTATCATTGCCGCAAATACCTGAGATAATTAGCTGATGAAAAGAAAATATGTATTTTGTCCATGATTGCCTGGCCTCACTGTTTTAGAGCTTTGTTGAGGCAGTGCATCATGGCAGGAGGGTGTGATACAGCAAAACTGCTCACTCAGTGCCAGGGACAAGACAGAAGAGAAAGGAAAGACTGGGGCTCTATGGTCGCCTTCAAGGACCCATCTCTCAGGACCTAGAGACTTCTAACCAGGCATCACCTCCTAACAACATCACCCCGGGGACCAGGCTTTTAATACTTGGGTGTCAATCAAACTGCCACCTATAGCAAGAACACACAACTGACGCCTTGGAAGTACCATGCATACCTTTATCTACTGACTCAAAATGACACACATACATGCTAGGCTTAGAAACAAAACAGACAACACAGACCATTATCAAAGCAGGGGAAACAGTAAAGTTCATTAGCTGCCTGTCTTCTGTAAATGTTTCTATTCTTGAAGCTAATCATCTCTGTTTAGTGTTTTCTAGTTACTTAAAACATTTGATTAACCTATTGTTAACATGAAATTTTTGAAAATGAAATCTGAACTTTGGTTGATATGTAAACAACCAGATATTCACTTGATTGGTGAATGCTAACTGGAATCGGTGCCTTTCAAGTGATGAATCATGGTTCATTAGTGGATTATGAAATCATTTTAATGGATCACAAACAACAGATAAGGATGGGGAGTGGTGGGATGGGATAGGATAGGATAGGACAGCATAGCCTGAAGTATTAGTGCCTTGAGTGCAGCAAGTATAAGTGTTTTGTGTAATTTTTATTTCAATAATATACATGCACAGCAAAATATATTTCTTACTATATGTCATAGTTTTTTAAAAGCTAGTTTTGGAAAGAAAAATGTGAACAGATGCAAAATTCATTAAATAGCTCACTATTCTTTTCTGCAGTACAGTTTTCCCTTTATACCTATCAGAGTCATCCCTGGCTTATCTGCATAGAGGTATTTTCAAGGAGAACTTCCTGGACAGACCTTTGTGTTAATCTTCCCCCAGAGCATTGATTAGATGGATGTGCCTGTTAGATTCAAAACATGTTTTGGACACTTAGGGAGGGCAAAGTGACATTTCCAAAAGCTGTGGTAAGTGAGTAGCAGAGGTGGAACCAGAATTAGATTATTTATGGATTCTTTTCAGACTGGAAAAAAGCAGGATAAGCAATGGCTCTCATAGCAAGGTCAGTGAGCAGCTGTTCCTTCATATATGGAGCTAGAGAAGGAGAGAAATGGACTTTGACTGCAGCCAGAGGGATTGGGCTAAACCTGGGAAGGGATGTCCCCGTGGTAAGGAGGAGTGTGTGTGTGTGTGTGTGTGTGTGTGTGTGTGTGTGTGTGTGTGTGAGTGTGACTGGAAGTTTCCAAAGGAGTGCAATCAATGATCTCTTGCCACGGCATCCTTTCTGGAGACACAACAAGAGAATAGGTGAGTCTGAGTGTTTTTCCACCCAGGGATGTCCTTACTCATTTGGCCACAGCCCCTTTCCCCCGCCCTCAGCGAAGATAATCTGGAGCTGGCGGTGTTTCTGTCCCCAGCCACGGATGGATATGATTAATCTCATGGTGCTCTGCTGGGCTGCAGTCAGCTTCGCTTTTCACCCGGATGTCAAACCAAGCCTGCAACAGCTGTGATCAGCTGTTGGAAGAGAGGGAGTTGGGCCCAGAGTAGGAAGACCCTGGCTTCTTGCCAAGGGCTCGTTGAAGGATGAGTGTCTACCATTCAGTTTGACTCTTTCTCTTGCTCAGTCTATTGCTGTGCCATTTTCTATCATTGTGACTCTTTCTTATTTTTTCTTCTTCTCTCATCTCTCCTTGGGGAGGTGGAAACCGCCATACTTTTATATAAAATTTTAGGGAAACAGGTTCACTCAGTGCAGAGAAGCTCCCAAACTGCTGTTGGCAAGGTGCTTTGTGAATTCAGCCACCTGAGTGGCTTCTTACTTTGCCTAATCTTCTTTCGGGCCGTGAGACTGTGGCCAAGAACCTAGATATCTGAGCCTCCAGCTCTTCCTGTGTTTTGTGGGGATAACAGTGCCTACTTGAGTGTGTGACCCTGAAGAATAAAAGGAGAAATATCCAAAACAGCCCTTGGGGTGGGGATCGGCCACATAGTCCATGTTTCCAGCATGGTAGTTTCCCTCCTCTGGCCCTGCCTGGACTGTGTCCCTGCCTGCCTTCATCAACAGAAGCACACACATGTTTTAATGGCCTCATGTCACCCTAGATCTTCCTCCAGCCTCGGGCTTGTTTTGCTTTTATTGAGCATCAAAGATTTGTTGAACTCCATGGAGGAGATAATTTTTATGAAGAGGCATAGCTCTGATACCAACCCTTATCACAGTTTTCCAGGCTTAGAAAAATGTGAGTCTGAGAAAAGGAACTAGTTTTAACACGAATCATTCCAGAAGAGGAGTAAGCTGCTCAGTGTGAGGAAAATCCCAAGGCTTCTGTGTGGATCTGGAGGAGGCAGAAGCTCATGTGAGGCACTGACACTTCGCTTTTTAAATCACATGATCGATCATGAAGATGGTTAATAAGTCAGAATACTGCTTTCATCCCCGATTTGCCCAGCCTTTGGCTTGGTCTGGATCAGTCATTCTTTAGGTTCAGCGATGCAGCCAGGAAGCCAGGCCAGCACCCAATGGCTGGAATCCCAAAGCATCTGGCTCTGGAGAAGCCCAAGATAACTTTCAGTGACTACAGCTTTATGGAACTCACAGGCTGCTGCATCGAAGTAGATGGGAGGTTGGGGTTTTCCCTACCCTTTGAGAGTCTGCAGACTAATAGAGAACAAAGATGGTCCTCCTGGAATGGGTTACTCTCATGATCTCTGGATTCCTGACATCAGAGAAAGTTTTGGGGTGATGTTAGGGAGAGAGACAAGGAAGAGACATTTCCAGGCAGACCTTACTGTTTTTGGATTTTGATAATTTTATTCTGTGGACTATTTATTGGTTGAGCCATAGATTTCCATTCTTCCCCTACTTCTTGAGTCCGAGAGCCAAGAGGTTTCCTGCTGTTTGAACCGCTGAGAAATCCAGAGAAGTTCCACTGATTCCTCTTTCTCCACCTGATCTTAACATCACATTTCTTTTGGGGCAGATTCAAGGATTACCGAGAGCCACCATGGGCACCAAACCCATACGAGTTTTCTAAACAGTACTGGTCTGTTCTATCTGCCCGACTGGCTTTTGTCATAATCTTCCAGGTAAGTTGTTCAGACAAAGGGTGACTAGTTAGGATCTGGGCTGCTGTAGGTTTTCATAGTGCATTCTTCTCTTGGTATCCAGAGTAATAGTTGTAAGTCCCTCAGATACCACAATCCAAGGATGTGCAAATCTCTTATATTCAGTGATGTAGTATTTGCAAATAATCTATGCACATCTTCCTGTATACTTTATAATGTATCTAGATTACTGGTAATATCCAATAGAGTATAAATTCTATATTAATTAGGGAATAATAGCAAGAGAGAAGCCTGCACATGTTCAGTACAGATGTCACTTTGTTTCCTAGTATATTTGATCCACTTATTGCTGAATCTGAGGATGTGGAACTTACAGATATGGAGGGCCAACTGTACTCTGTGACACGAGGTGCATGTTTCATTCCCTTTATGTAGCAGGAAAACCCCGGAGAGGGCTTCTTTTAATGGATGGACTTTAGCAAAACAGAATAAAACATAGAGTAAGGTTACTGGACAGATGTGGAGTAAGTTGCAAGATAGAGACAATTTTCTATTCAAATATAAGATGAAGAAAGGGAAATGGGAAGGGCAGTTGAAACCAGAGTCTCAGCCCTTGTGCAGATAAACAGCCCATCTCATCTCTGCAGCCTGAGATGGGGCTCAAATTCTGAACCTTTCTTCTTGAGCTCTCAGGACCCTCCTTTGTTAGTGTTGTTCAGCCACTGAGACATCTGGTGGGAAGGGCCTCCAAGCCACCTAGCCATCTCGGAATGAATAGTAAACTCGAGCCCAGTGATTCCTATCTTTGACAATAGGTACAGCTCCAATTGCATCGCTGAGATTTTTTGAGGTCCAGGGCCCTCAATTCCCACTCGGGGTCCTGCCAGTCTTCGAGCAGGGACAGAGCACAAGCCCAGATCCTTTTCTCTTCATCTCCCTCAGGCTTTTGTATTCCCTGAAGGCAGATCCCTGGGGGGCTCTAAAGTATCCTGCCCCTCAGACCCCAGCCCAGGAAGTGGAGAAGTCCATCGGCTAGTCTTTCACCTAAAGAAGACAGCCATTCTTCCTCTGCAGAGATGGGGAGATACACTTGAAAACTCACTCAGACATCCCCCGGTGGCCCCACCTGCAAGAACCTCCTCACTTTTCCATATGTCACATATCACAAGTCACTCACTCACTCTGTAGGGGGTAGAGGAAAAACATGATGAGGTGGATCTCCAGCACCTAAGGTTCCTGGGTGCCTCTGGAAGCAGCAGCTGAGGAATCTTCTTCCAGGAGCATGTAAGGTTCAAGGGCTTGAACACTGCATGGTATCTCAGACATCAGAGAACAAACAAATGTGTAACCAACATCCAGAGAATGACTGGAGCAGTGTGCTGGGTTGATGTTTCTAAAAGGGAAATGAATAAGAATCAAATTATAAACAGAGTAAACATGTATTGGTCCATGCCAGGTACTGTCACATTTGTGCAAACAGAAACTGTTCCTAGGAGAAGGACATCTTTGCCTTCCTCTGTATACACAGGGAGGAATATAGTGCAGCAGCCAGAGGAAAGGAGCCCAGTGCAAGCATGCAGAAAAACTTAGAACTGCTCAAGGAGCTACTTGCAGGGTGTCCCAGACTGTCAATGTGGTGAGAATGGCTTTAATGAGTAGAGGGAGAAGAAGCTGGGAATAGTAGTCAGGTTTGACTGAGACCAGAGGTCAGAGCAAATGGCAAAGTCATGTCTTTGTTGTAGAAGACAGAGAGCTGGTCGAAGAATGAGATGAGTAACTGTCACAGCCACAGACCCCAGAGGCCACTTTCTAAGAGGCTCTGGACCGTGAAATGCCAAAAGGCTTCACAGCCAAGCAGCAAGAACAGAACATCTGAGGACATGCTGAGGAGGAGGGTGGGGGAGAACTACATGTCCCACTGAAGGGCGGAATGACAGCTGTCACTGGAGGAGCCTTACCATGTGCCAAGCACCCTTGAAGATGTCTGACTTGTATTAACCCACTAATCCTTATAACACTAGGGCTGGTTGGAGTATTCTCATTTTCTCAGTAAGACACTATTTATTATTGAGGATGCTGAGATGCTGTTATCTTCATTGGTGGAGGTCACTCAGCCAGTGAGTCACAGAACCAGAATTAGTATAGAACCCATGACTCTGTGCTCCTCACTACCACCTGCACCATGGTGGGAACAGTCATTCTGACAGAGCAGGAGTGCACAGTAGCCTGCTAATGTCTACCGAAGTCTCACCGCACCATGGCACCACCCAGGTCCTTCCACTCAGCCCCTCTCCCTTGCTTTCTGCAGAACCTCGTGATGTTCCTGAGTGTCCTTGTGGATTGGATGATCCCAGACATCCCCACAGACATCAGCGACCAGATCAAGAAAGAGAAGAGCTTGTTGGTGGACTTCTTCCTGAAAGAGGAGCATGAGAAGCTCAAGCTTGCTGACGAGCCTGCCCAGAGGAGCCAGGGAGGTGGGGACCGTAGCAGGAGGAGCCGGGCAGCCAGCTCAGCTCCTTCCAGCCTGAGCCCAGCAGGCAGCAGAGCCTCTTCAGGCTCCCAACACACCAACGTGTGAGCAGTCCCGCCCTGTGCCAGAGGGGGCGCTGCAGTAGCTAAGCGCTTGCGCACACTAAGTCGCAAATCCCCAACCACGGATGGTGAACCTATGGCACACAGCGGGCTGTTTATTATCACTGACAGCTCTAAAAGGTTTGCCATCACTGCGAGCCAAGTGCACTCCACTTGGATCCAGCTTGGGGCTGGCTCAGAAAGAAATTGTCTGTGAAAATAAAGGAAAAGAGAGCAAGAGTGAGTGCTAGAAGAGAAGTGATGTTGCTTCTCTAAAACTCAAGCTTAAGATTCTTTTAGCCCCTTGTGAGTTGTGTTCTTCTGGAGATTGGTACCTTCTCTGGGGTCTCTGCATCCCGGAGTCCTCAGGCATCAGATGCCTTCTTCCCATGTTCTTTCTCTTCACCATGGTTCCAGATGACCATAGGCTGCAAGAGAGAAGTACAGGCAGATCCCTGCCCCACTGTAAGTGACTACCATGTCCTTCCATATCACCCCCTGACACCTCCTCTGAGCCACTGGCAGCTGGGGACACCAGAGGTCTTGGTGGATGCTAAGTTTCAGAGCTGACTGTGCAGTCACTGGACACGGTGGTGAGGCCCTGAGGTCCATCTGGGCTTGTCTCCAGTTCATGTCACAGGGATGTCTGAGCTTCAGTACAACCACCTGTCATTTCACAGCAGATTCAAAATAAATGGAAACATACTTTTTAAAGATGCATCGTTGTCTTTGGTGCCTTGTGTCTCTTCTTGCCGCTCCTCCCCTACACTAACTTCTCTCTTTCTTCCTTTCTCCCTCCTTCCATTACTTTTTCCCTCTTTTCTCTCCTCCTTCCTTCCATCCTCTAAATATCTATTGAGCTCCTATTAGGCACCAGGCATTGTTCTCAGGCTAGAGGTACAGCAGAGAACAAGAATTAAAGTACAGTGGAGAATAAGAAATGAAGTCTCTGCCTCATGGAGCTTGCATTCTGGAGAGGGATCCACTGTAAGTTCGTAAGTGTGTAAATCACAATAAGTGCAGTAGGGAAAATACTAGAAAGGACAAAATAGACGTGTGTGTGTGTGTGTGTGTGTGTGTGTGTGTGTGTGTGTGCAGGGGAACACAAGGATTGAAGGGTTCTACCATTTTCTATATATTTTAATGAAAAAGCCCAGCTGGTGAAGATCTTATACTGCTAAATAACATAGTCAGTTGTAGCAGCTCTGATGAACTCTGTATGAGAAGATTTTCAAAACAACCTTACCCTCTCTTGATCTCCAGAAACCAGCTTCATGGTAACTCCATCTAGACCTGTCTCCAGTTCCTTGCCAGCCAATCTGACTGGAGTTCAAGGTAATATCTGAATGGAGGACCAAGTTCGCAGAAATGAGGCTGTTGTTCTGATGATTCGGGTACCCAGTGAAGAAAGACCTCCCGTGTGGGCTTGTCCTCAGTGCTGGCCACCATTGTTTCTTGTTTCCTCCTGGGTGCGTGCAGGATCGCACTTGCCCCAGTCCTTGCTCTGGAAAGTGGCTCTGGAAAGTGTCATCCCCTTAATGGGGATGACAAGGCACAGATACAACTCTAATCATATCCAAGCACTTCTGTAATCAATCATAATCATATTACATTTTAATACTCATTTGCCATGGGTTTGAGCTACAGTGGCATGAAAATGTTGCATTATCTTACAACATATTTTGTTCATTTTGAGAATGAGTGGGTAATGGAGGAACACTCTACTTCAATAAATAATCATGTCATGAGGATTCTGGGCCCATACTAAGAGGATGCCCCTGGTACTCCTGCCAGCGTGGCCAGAATTGATCTTCCCAGGAAGCAATGATGGTCCGTGGTCAATCATTACCTCCATTATGGCACCCACTGAACCCCTCATTGCGTGTGTGCACGGATGCCTGTGCTGGTTAGGGCCTCACTTTGTTTTGATCACATTTTTATACATGATAAAGGCAAAACTTCCATACCAAGAAAGATTCAGATAGTCTGAAACAAACACAAGCAAACAGGAACTGAAGCCAGAACGACCTGTCATCCCCAAATCTGTAATCGACATTGGCAACTGCTGTGTCCCCCAGAATCTCATTCCCTGTCATGAACTTTTATTGTTTTAATGGGTGCATTGTTTTAATTAGTCTATATGGACTATCTTGTTACCTTTTTTTCACTTCATGTATTTCATCAGTCCTTACATCCCAATAAATATGGATCTGTTCCTTCCAAAATATGTCCAAAGTATGTCCTGAACTATTATGTGTCAGGCCCTTGGGATATATCGCCCAACAAAATAAGTATTCTTACTGTCATGGAGCTCATGTTCTCTCTCTCTTCCTCTCTCTCTCTCTCTCTCTCTCTCTCTCTCTCTCTCTCTCTGTGTGTGTGTGTGTGTGTGTGTATGTGTGTATAAAAGACAGATAAATGATGAAAGTAAATAAAAAAGAATTTAGGGTAAAAAAAAATTACATGGACCAAGGCAAGAATTACAGGTGGAGACAGCGGCCACACATTATTTCTATTATAAAAGTGAACCTTTTTGCTATCATTTTTTCTTGCCTCATCCCATTCTGATAACCATTTGGGAATATAACCCTGTGATCCCAAGGGGCACTAGGTCAGATGGAGCCAACTCAGGTGTGCATGGCATAGAGAAGGGAGATTTAATCTGACCATGGACAGATTTCCACACTGAGAAGGCTCAATTTTCTCCCCCACTCCCATGAAAAACACATTAAGAATCCTATGATTTGCTCCAGATCCTGGATGGTGTATATGGCATTGGTGTATATGTATGTTACCAGCAAGACCACTAGAGGTGCCTACTTCCTCCCAGCAGGAGTAGGGGTTTAGGCTAAGAAAGAAAGCATTTTAAATCACCTGTTGATCTGAGTGGAGAGATGGTAGGTACAATCTTACAAATAAAAGTTGTGTGAGTTGTATAAGGAAGTTATAAAACTTTCTATTCTAACATGAAAGAATATTGTGGACAAAAACTGAAAAAGCAAAAGGAATCACTTATTATCCTGTGCCCTTTTTCCAGAAGCAATAATAGTTAATATCTTAAGTTTATGTTCTTATATTGTACATGCAGTCACATACACTGATTAGAAATAGCAGTTATTTTGTTTAATTTTAAAAGTGATACATATTTATTGATGACTTAGAAAATGTGGAAAAATAAAATGTAATTAAAACGTTTAAATCATTCAAATTTTCACCTGCAAGAGAAAATTTTCAATTCACTTTTTATTTTCCTTTTTACATACAATTGAGATTACTTCACACAGACTAAGTTTTTTACTTATTTAACAGAGAAAGTTCCACATGCCCTGGGTAAAGTTATGATGAACAAGGGCTTCTTGATAAGCAGTACCTACAACTGGATTGTTCTCCAATCTTCCCTTATGAAGACAGAAATGAATGAAATCAACTTGATGGTTGATTGAAGTAATCTTATGGGTGTGTTTAAAAAATAAATACAAAGTGAGAGTCTTTTATGCTTTCCCTTGTCACTTTCCAGATTGGCACTGTCCACAATAATCTTATTCATAAAAGTGGAATCACACTGTTTTCAGTGAGTCTTTTTTTTTTTTCCTTTTTCTTTTTTCTGGTTCTGAAGATTGCAGGGCTTCATGAATGCTAGTCAAGTGCTCAACCACTGAGCTACATCCTCAGCCCTTAAAAATGAAAAAAATAATCATTAAATTTCTGCCCAACACATTAGTCATGATTTGCTATATATATAATTTTTCTGTTCTGTAAGAGAGTGGTCTTATTTTGCTGATCTTTCCAGCACCAATTTCTGACCTTGCACATAAATCAGCCACTGTTATAAAAAAGAAAATAGCAAACATATAGTTTGCAAACACTATGGTCGTAAACCATAGTATGTTCCACTGGGTGGAAAGCATGTCTGGGAGCAAGAAGGAAAGAGAATGAAAGGACCCATGGTTTTGCACCATGCCTTTTTTGAAATTATAACTAAGCTGGATTTTGGGTTAAGAATGAATTAACAAAATTCTTTGGTATTTTTATATTGTCACATTCATCCCTTTGTTAACCAAAGTACACCTTCACATTTAAAAACAACTGCAGTGGAGTTAAAGAGGCCATCAAAGTCTTTTCGGGACACAGATGCTTTCTTCTAGCTACTGCCTGTAATGTAAGCGAGCTTCCTAGACTAAGGTTATGACGCTGTCTTGGGCCTGCTGCATTCAGGGACTTAGTGCAGAGGAAAACAGGGAGCAAAGGCGAAAGGGACGAGCTTGCCTCTGTTCAGGCTCACTCCGAAACCCTTCACCACACCCTGACCCATCGCAGAGCTCCCTGTGATTGGCTGGGGTCTCTCAGACAGCTCACCGCAGCTTGATTTCTCCCTCTGCCCCACTGTGCTTCCTCCTTCCCACATCTGCTGCTCTGCGGCACCCCCTCCCCAGCCTCCCATAAGGAAGCTATGCGGGTCTTGTCCTGAGGCGGTTTTCCAGCTGACCTCACACACGGGCTCCTTGAATGTATATTCTCTGAGCTTGTGCATTTCGGAAACTGCTTTCATGTTGCAATGATGGCTTGGCTGGAGTCATCATTCTCAGATCGTCATCCTTTCCTTCAAAACATTGTGGCTATGGCAATTAATCCACGCTCTTCCAGGTTGTAGAGGAAGAGCTCTGGAGGAAGGCTGATGGGTATTCCTTTGTAAGTTGTTTTAATTGTTCTACTCTTTGGTCGCTAACAAGATTTTAAAATTTATTCTTGTCACTGAAAATTTCTCTGTGATGTATCTCATTTCTTTTATTGAATGTGCCTGACACGTAAACATCTTCCAACTCACATAGTCACTCCTCTGAAAAGTGACTCCCATTGTGGGAATGGACTCCAGTGAATGCATTGCATCTGTTTTGGTGACATCAGGAAAACACCGAAGTCCAAGCGTGTCTCTCCAGTTTCCCAATTTTATACCTACCACCTTCTTTGTCAGCACAGCTGCTTTGCTGTATGCTGTATACTTCAGGAGTGTGCTCTTCCCAGAATGCCATGTCACACTTTTCTCTGTTCCTTTCTCCTGAAATAATCCACATATATTCTCCAAGATATTATCCAGGCAGCTCCTAAACTCTTATGTGCAAACTTTATGGATAATGTGAAAGGCCAGGATGATTTCTGCGAACCACCTGTGGCTCTCCTCCCCTGCACACCCCGTGCCAGCTAAGCTCTTACCTTTCCTGACTGTGTATGTTTTCCAAAACAGATTCCTTGGCCAGTAAACCAAGGAGTTAGACTGGCTAAGCATTAATTCTCATCCTGTTCTGACAGGTACAATCCTAGGTTTGCTAGAACACAGACTAGCCGATGACTCAATCTTATCTTCAGTGTTCTTCCCATTCTGCTCATCTTTTGTGGCACAGGTCGTGGATATCTGTCTATCAGATATCTAGACCTCAGTTAGTCAGGGAAATTTCCACTCCAATTTCCACTCCAGTTTCCACTCTTGCCCCAGCCCATGGCAATACGGTATCTAATCTGCTCAGCTACAGCAGAGGGCGCCAGAGAGCAGAACCCACCCTTCAGGCTTAGCCACAGGTTGACAACAGTGCAGATGTTTCCTCAGAAGGCAGCCCTGTTTGCACATCTGGCCCTCCTGCCCTCCCCTTCTTTCTTGTTCTCCTCCACAACAGTGAATGGTAGTGCCCTCAGGGACATGTCCCTTTGGAACCAGGCTAGAAG